CTGAAAAGCGTTCTGTTGTGTGTGCCCAGGGGATAAGGAGGAGGGGAGAACTAACCTAGTTCCATCTTAATGTTTGCTTGTTGGTATCCCCTTTGACGTTTTAGCAGTTTTTCTTGGGGAGTGCTTCGTGTTTACTCTGTAAGATTAGATTCTTCCAAATGTTTTAGCATCACCGAAAGCTAAAGCCTGGTCCTCTTCTCAATATTACCACTTCCCAAACACTATAGGTTCCCTTAAATATGTGAACAGGGAAATAAACATTTCCATTGTTTGTCCTCTTTTCCCCAGACATAAGCACACACACACAGCCTACCCCCGACACCCACAGTGAGAGCAGGGATTCACTTCCTCGGGGAGGGGCCAGGGGTAAAGGATGGAGCTTTTGGAGGGAATTTTAAGTTCTGACTCAACTTGCTCTATAATCTTTTCCAATTCCCCCAGAAATAATTCACCCTCAGTAGACTGAATGATGGTGTCCAAGGAACTGAATCTCCTTTGGGGATGTAGAGCTCATGGGGCATATTTAATGAATCTGCTTCACTTGTGGATCCTCTAGGATTCTGCTAGCCTATGTAACGCTTCATAAATATCCCTTGTTATAGGGCATCCAGGAAACAGGGGTGGCAGCTGGTTCAGTTTCTTTTACTTCTAGAAGTTTAGAACTTACAAGTTTTCCTTGCCGATGGCTCAATTGCCTCCCTCTTATTTTCATGCCCAGCAGGGTCTGAGTAATAAGGGGGAGGAGAGGGAGGTCAGTGCAGGGGGTCTGCGGCCCCTGTGAAAGGTAAACCTCATGGAAAAAGAAGGGCTTCAATGGGCCAGAAACTTCCACTACCTCTGGGTCCTTGGGTGCTGCAGATCCTAGAGAGGAAGTTAATCCACAAGTAAGCCAGCGTGTTTTCTGCCCCCCAGGGACATGGATGGGGACGTGGACATTGAACTTCCGGAGGTGAGCCTTCGTAGGGTACTCTGGAGGGTGGGGTTCAGTGACTGTCCCGAAAGTTCCCTTCAATCACAGTGTCATTCAGAGCTTTGAAGTTCAGGGAATGGTTTATCTGCGATCCGGTGAGTACCTTGATTCCAACCTCGTGGGGGACACTCCTTCTACCTTCTAAGGCTCTCATGTCCCACCAGGATGGGGCATGGGAACGAGGTAGGTGCCCTGAAGAAAGCTTTGTTTGGACCAGTGTTTCTCTGTGCACGATGTTTCTTCACCATGAAATTGCAAACATGATTTTGTCCAACTCGCTCTGTTCCGAGAGTTGGGTGCTGCTTCTGAAGGGGGTGGGATGTCTTTAAAATGCATTCGGTTTAAGAAAAATAATCAAGAAGAAAATGAGAGTGGCTAGTAGATTCCCTGACAGTGGACTTGGAGGAACACGGGACTTCCTCCCTACCATATGTGTATTGGTAGGAGGCAGAGGGAGTGGGTTTTATACTTGTCCAAGGGCTGTAAGACTTTGAAGAGGTGCTGAGGTGTACCTGGGACAGTGTGACGCTTCCAAAGTCAGCACTGATCTGCACAAAACAAAACTAAAACACCCAAAGCATTTGCTGAGCTCGTTCCATGCGCTAGGCCCAGGCCTGCCTGCTAGAGACAGACTGCGGCCTACAGAGATTTCACCACCTGTCAAGACAGATGGTTCAGCAAGTAATTACAGCTGAGAGTGGTGAGGAGTCTGATAGAGGAGGTGCAGGGAGCCGTGGCCACCCTGGCTGGGACCCCAGCTCGGTCAGGACTCCAGCCTCCCTTAGCGCGCTTATCTGCTAATGTCCCCCCTGATTGGTCCTTCCAGATTCTCCCGCTGAAGAGCCTTCACAAGGAATCCGACTGCCATTCTTAATGCTCCAGGCAGTGGCCACTTCTGGCCCCTCCTCACCGCAGTGAGGTCCCAGCCTCTCCCGTGGGACCACAAGGTCTCCTGTGCGCGCCTCTTTTTCTTGGTATTTCTTTGGGATAATCGTAAACGCCAAGTGTCTTTTCTGTGCATCCCATGTAAGTTCCTCTGGTTTCTTTTTAGCCTCCGAAGCCGACTCCACCTGGCCAGGAGACAGAGGAGGAACTGCAGTTCCGGGCCCTGTTTGAACAAGTTGCGGGTGAGGTAGGGCTGACTGCAGGCTGCCCTTGGCCTTGACCCCCTGCAGTCACCTAAGAAGGGGCCTGGTTTCCTCCACAGCCCAGGGATGCAGTAAGGTGTTTGTCAGCAGCACTTCCCAGAGGCCTGGTGGAGCTAGAGCCAACGAGAGGCCAGGCCTGATCATTTGGGAGGCTCTAAAGACCGCCTCCCCCACCGCACCCCTCCTGCCGGGCTGCCACCGTTGGTGGGACAAGGGCCCCCAAAGGAGCTCAGCCCGGCCCAGGGGCTTTCTGTGGAAGGCTAGAGGAAGCCTTGAAGAGGTGGCTCATTGCACCCTGTCCACAAACCACTGCTTTTAGAATGTTCTCTCTGCTCTGGTGGAAGGTGGTATTGTTCGGGGACGTCACCATGAAATTGCAAACATGATTTTTGTCCGGTAACATCAGCGGCATGGCTAGGTTTGGCAGTTCAGGCCAGGGCAGCCACTGGGGAAGGAGAGGATCTGTCTCTCGCCTCCTGCTCTCCGACCCCGACCCCGTTCTTGCCCCCTCGGTTGTCAGCTTGTTTGTTGGGGGCCCTGGCCACTCTTGGGGGCCCTAGGTATCCCTCGCCCCAGGCTCCGTTCTCCTAGAAACTGCCCCACCTGTGCTCCCTCGTAGCCATAAATAAAATTAGCCTGATTGACCATTTCATGGTGGGTGCTGATGACTCCATTTGGTTCCTTCCCCTGCCAGGGCTCCTGAATCATAAAAGAGGTGGGACACCTGCACCAGGGCGGGGGGAGCCCTGATGGTGGGATTTCAAGCAGTGTAAGAACTAGCAGGGCAGGGAGACCTGGGGACTGCAGTCTGGGTGGAGAAAAATGGGGACTCGTGTGACTTACTTTGTGTAAGCCACAGCAGGCAAGGTGGCCATCTGCTCTTCCCAGGGCGGCCTGCAGCCCCGGGCAGGGTGGAGCAGGGCTGGGCGGGATAGGAACGCCAAACGTCCAGCTCTGGGTGCTGGCTGGAAGACCGGCCTGGATGAGCTCCTCCTCACGGCTGAGGAGGGACAGAAGTTGCCAGAAATGGAGACCCAGGTTTGGAAGAGAAGTGAGGGAATGTTGCAGGAGATTCTTTCCAACTTTACTAATGACCAAAAAGCACCTGTAGAATCAGCTCGCTGGTTCCAGTCCTGCTCTTCTTCGGACTGGCCTGATGGCTCAGACGTGTGGCTCCACCTCTGGCCTGCTCTGTCCCAGGGGGGCTTGGGCTGCATCAGCGATTCTCCTCTAGGGCTGAACACCCCAAACCCCGTTCCCCAGGCCTCAGAAGCTCCAGGGGTGGAACCTGGGCAGGCGCATATGGAAATAACTTCTTAGGTGACTGTTTCGCACCACTAGCTCAAAACCCTGGACCAAAGGAGCCCTGAGTCCGTGCTACTCAAACTGTCATACACATAACCCTTGCCAGAGCATCCTGGGAAAATGCCGATTTCCTCCCCAGAAGGTCTGGGGAAGGGCCTGAAACTCTACAATTCTGACAAGCTTCTAAGGACCCTGGATGCTGAGATCTCGTGGACTTAGTGGACGGCCCGAGATCAGTGGTTCTGAAAACACCCTACAGGTTTTGAAAAGAATCCATGGGACATCCTCCCAGTCTTCTGATTGAAATGGTCCCTGGAGTGAGCTCCCAGCGCGGAGTGAGCCCCCAGGGTGGGCATTTTTAATACTCTCCAGGCGGTTCTGCTGTGCAGGGGCTTGGAGACCCAGACACGAAAGTCCTCCAACAGAAGCGCCACGTGGGGAGCTTTAGCTCAGGGGGTAGGGACGCTTGCCTCCCCTGGCCCAGTTTTTCCATCCTTTCTGGGCTGGGCATGTGAGTCCCTGAGAAGTTAAGCAGGCTACAGTCATGGGAAATGGGTACATGGGCCCGCAGCTGGGTCCTTGAGGGCCGGGCTTGTCGCTTGAGCCCAATCAAGCTCAGAACTAGAAGCAACTAACAAAGAAGGCGCTAAGGGCCATAAAAAGCAATTGTCTCTCCTTCAACAGGACATGGAGGTGACAGCGGAGGAACTGGAATATGTTTTAAATGCTGGGCTGCAAAAGAGTAAGTGCTCATCCCCCCCCCCATCGGGGACCCCAGGGCTCCTCTGGAGGGGACGTGTGACCTGTGACCTCATGCTGCCTGGCTCTCCTCCAGCTCCTCCAGGCTCCCTGCTCTCCAGGGCTGACTTTGGGTAGACTTTCAAAATAGCTTTCATTGCTTATTTCCTGATTACGAGAACGATGCCCATTATGGGAGAAAATTACATAAAAATGCAAAAAAGCCTAAAGACAAAGACAGAAGCCACCAATAATCTAACCACCCATAGATAACTGCTGTTGAGATATGTGTGTGTGTATCATGTGTCGTTGGTGTGTCTCTCAGGGTGTGCATATCTGTACACACACACAACTGCCATTAAATTGTACATACAATTTTGTTAATGTAACAGCTTTGAGACATAATTCACATACTATACAATTCACCCACCACGGTTTTTAGTGTGTTTGCAACATTGTGCAACCATCACCACAACCAGTTTTGGAACATTCCATCACTCAAAAACTATACCCAGGAGCAGTCACTCCCCACCTCCCCCAGGCCCTGAAACAACTGATCTACTTCCTGTCTCTATAGACTTGCCGATTCTGGACTTTTCATATAAAAAGAATTATGTGGGGTGCCTAGGTGGTTCGGTCGGGGAAGCACCTGCCTTCGGCTCAGGTCATGATCCCAGGGTCCTGGGATCGAGGCCCGCATCGGGCTCCCTGCTCGGCGGGAAGTCTGCTTCTCCCTCTCCCGCTCCCCCTGCTTGTGTTCCCTCTCTCACTATCTCGCTCTCAAATAAATAATTGTGGTTTTTTAATTAAAAAATAATAAAAATAAAAAGAATCATGTAATAGGTGATCCTAAGTGACTTCTTTCACTTAGCATAACGTCTTCAAGATTTATCCACGTTGGAGTGTTTGCCAGGACTCTTCAATCCTTTTTATGGCTGGGTAATATTTCATTGTAGGAGTATACCAGGTTTTGTTTCTCCATTCCTCGCGGATGGCCATGAGGGTTGTTGCCACTCTCTGGCCGTTATGAATAATGCTGCTGTGACCATTCATGAACGAGTCACCTGTGTGGACATTTCTCTTGGGTATATACCTCGGACAATTGCTGCCTTACACGGTAACTCTGTACTTCCTGTTTTAAGGAACCATCCGACTGTTTTCCAAAGTGACTCTTTTACGAGCGGTGTACGAGTGTTCAAGGTTCTTCAATAATTGCAAATCCTGCCTTTTAAACTGACTTTTTATGAGCATTTCCGCAGATCATTAAATGTGCTTCAGAAACATGGTTCTTAAGGACCGTGTAACAATCCATCCTTCGCACATAACCTTTTCTGCTCCTACCCTTCCATTGGTCATCTATGTCATCTCTAAATTTTTGCCATTATACATAACCAGATGATAAAGATGTTAAATTGTAATTCTTGGCTTGGGATTCTTAAAACTAGGATAAGTGAATGGAAAGATCTTCCCGTTTTTTATATTGTGCAGTGTTGCCTTCCCAAAGGCCATGTCAGTTTCTGCTCTCACCAGCAGCCTGAGAGTGAGCACGTCTCCCCCTCACCAACCCCGGGATCTGACCACGCTCTTGGACTTCCAGCAGCCGGCAATAGGCTTATCTTATCCCATGTCCAATGAATTCTGCTTTCATGTGTGATTTCAGAAAAGGACCTCCAATTCAAGAAACTAAGCCTGACTTCCTGTAAAAACATCATTTCTCTAATGGATGTATCCTTCCAATCTGTGGGCAGAAAGGGCTGTGTTTTCCTGTCGTGCAGACCCTCTTAGAATGTGGCACCTTTAACCGGTAGGATAGTCTTCTTCTCGGGGAACATCCAAAGACCAGGCAGCCCCTAGAACTGGAACAGAATCAAGAGGCACAGACTGTCCAGTGGAGGGGGGGATGCTTTTGGAGGGACTTGGGGTGCCACTTGGGGGGTCTTGTTGCCACTTTGGGGTCCCAGCTAAGGGAATAATAAGGGAATGTTTTTATTGTACTTTCTCGAACTTGCTGGTGCCATCCCCATCTTACCTCTGCCATTTCCCCTCTTCAGAGATGCGTGGTTTGATAGTTAAGCCACCTCCCTAGGAGCCCTGACTCTGCCACCTGTCCCCCAGGCCAGCCGGTTGCCCCTCCATCCCTAAAGTCCCGCGAGGCACCTTGGGTTGAGACCCTGCTCATCTTCCTTCCTTCCTTCCTTAACGTGCTCGGCACAGACCAGTGGCAACGGGAAGCTAGAGTTCGGGGAGTTCACAGTGTTCTGGGACAAGCTGAAGAAGTGGACAGTACGTGATCCCGCCGGGCAGGGCCTCTGGGGATTGCGCCAGCCTGGAGCAGGAGGGGGTCTTCAGCGGCCAAGGGAAAGGGCTGAAGGGAAGGAATTGTGATGCAATTCCCCAGTTCCCTTCTCCTGCTTATAGAAGTACCCCAGAGCTTGCCCCCGGAAGGGAAAGGAAAGCAAAAGGTGGAGGAGCCTCTCTTCCTGTCCAGGCTGTATGCAGTTACTGTCAAAGGTGGTGCCTTCGGGTACCCTCCCTCTGGTTCTCAATGCCTCTGTCCTCCCCACAGAACCTTTTCCTTCAGTTCGACACTGACAAGTCGGGCACCATGTCTTCCTACGAGCTGCGGAGCGCCCTGAAAGCCGCAGGTAAAGCAAAGCCTGGGAGGTCAAGTGTGGGCTGCGCATGGCCAGGGACTGTGGACGGCCCCTTGCTTCTCATGCCCTACGAGGTGGCCGGTCTTTGACCCGAGTTCATGCTTCTTGAGGGCACAGCCCTGTGAGCGCCAGGGCCAGGCCTCAGGCTCAGGACTCGCTCGCCCACGCCAGGGCCGTGTTTTAAACCACTGTGTGGACATTGGCAGGAATCTGTAAAATGGATCCACTAAGGGTGAACTTAGCCTGACCCCCTCTGCCACCTCTGGCCAAGTTTTCTGGCCGAGCAGAGGTACATGTGACCCTTTGGTGGCAAGCCGCAGTGCCCCCAAACCTCTAATTGCTGCTTTCGGAGGGTGATGACCATGGATGAGGCAGGGCGTGCCCGATCCCATGATTCAGGGTCGGGGAACGGAGCTCCTCTGCCACCTGCAGCCCTGTCCCTGGCCTTGTCCCCGGCTTTGTCCCCAGCAGACAGAACCCAAACCAGATGGTAGTCACGGTTTATATCAGCTCTGTACACAAAGGATGGGAGCCAGGTGGTGTCCCTCGCCCTCTGGCAGTCACCACCAGGGCACCCCGAGTCTCTGGGGCTCTGCCGTCCTGGGCTCACAGCCGTGGTTCTGAGGCCACTGCAGCCCCCAGCCCCTGCCAAGTTGCGTGGTGTTTCTCACAAAGCGTGCTTCACAGACATGCCCCCTGGGCCCTGCCAGAGCTTAGAATCGGGTTCCCTCCCAGGTGAGCCAAACATCTGGAAACATCGTCAGCTTCATGGTCTGATAAAGGGACAGAATGTCCAAAATCGGGACCATCTTGGGTCCTACGAAAGGGAGGAAAAAAACCAAGGTTAGTTATAAAGTGGAAAATACCACAGAGGAGGAGGGCCTGATTTTCTTAAGGGCTGGTGACCGTGTTTCTAGGGGAGGAGGATGGAGCAGAGGGGCAGACGTGGGGGGCAGGAGGGTGCCCTGCTCTCCCCTCCTCCAGCCCCATGGAGAGCACATGCTAGGATCTGGGGTATCACCAAGAACCGACACCACTGGCTGGCTCCAGAAACCGCTCCCAGTGTCTGACTAGCCTCCTCTTCTGTCTGGGATTGGGACTAAGGAGCAGGGAAGACCTGGGTAGACGTCTAAGCAGTACATTGAATGTTCCCTGGGAAGTGAGCATGTAGACTAAAGTCAAGGGGGGGATCCCTAGGATGTAGGTTAGACATTGAAGCATTAAATATTGGATCTAAAGTGACTTTACCTCTAAAGCCCTCATTTAACCAATAAGGACAGGAATCCCAGAGAAGCAAAGCAGACCGCCTCTGGCTCAGCCTGTGTGGATGAATGAGCCCCTGCCCCAGGGGGTCACTCACCTGGGGCAGGAGCATCCCTTCTAGAAACACGATTTCCAGAGCCCTCAACACCTTTGGGTTAAAGTGCTCTCCAGAAGGGGAGGTGGGGGAGAAGGGGTGGGAGTAGGGCTCAGACACCATCCGGCTAAGTTCCCGCAAGTGAGGCTTCCTGAAAAGTCAGCAAGATACAACGGGTAGGTGAATGTCAAAACCAAGAGCATGGGACGCCTGGGTGGCTCAGTCATTAAGCGTCTGCCTTCGGCTCAGGTCATGATCCCGGGGTCCTGGGATCGAGCCCCGCATCGGGCTCCCTGCTCCGCGGGGAGCCTGCTTCTCCCTCTCCCACTCCCCCTGCTTGTGTTCCCTCTCTTGCTATGTCTCTATCTTTCAAATAAATAAATAAAATCTTTAAAAAAAAATCATTAAAAAACCAAGAGCATGACCTCACAAGTCCACCAGCATCCCTCCTGATGGAGACGCACACTGTCACGCTGCATCCACGCTGAGGACGGGGAGCCCACCTGCTGACTGGATGTGCCCCAAAGGTGCGCCCCATGGGGCCCAGCCAGGACCAGTTCTGTATCTCCTCCCCGGCCCCACAGGCTTCCAGCTGAGCCATCACCTCCTGCAGCTGATCGTCCTCAGGTACGCGGACGAGGGGCTCCAGCTCGGCTTCGATGACTTCCTCAACTGCCTTGTCCGGCTGGAGAACGCGAGCCGTGAGTGGCTGGTGGGGCTGCGCCCCCTGGGTCCCGAGGGGGGTCCCCGTCCCCTCAGTTCCCTTCCAAGAGTGGGTGACAGCCAGCCAGCCATAAATCCTGGCGACAAGAGGCTCTGTCGTGTGATCTCTGCCATGTGCGTGGTTAGATGAGGGGTGGGGGTGTGGGAGTCTTCTTTGCCGGGCCGTCCTTAAGAATCTTCTCATCCACGGCCTCTGGGTTCGGGCCACTCCGCTTGCTGAGTCATCCTCCGCGTGTACACTTGCAGTGTCCTTGCAGGACAGGTTGGGGGGGTGGGTTCCGCCTCCTATCTGAGGGAAGGTCTGATCCGGGGTCAAATCCATCATAGCCCATAGAATCAGAGGAGTCTCTCTCTCTCCCTCGTCTTCTCTTTCCTCCTCTGTTCCCCTCCCTCCACCCTACCTTTGTGGGTTTTTTTGTTTGTTTGTTTGTTTTTTAAAGATTTTTTATTTATTTATCTGAGAGAGAGAATGGGAGACAGAGAGCATGAGAGGGGGAGGATCAGAGGGAGAAGCAGACTCCCTGCCGAGCAGGGAGCCCGATGCGGGACTCGATCCAGGGACTCCAGGATCATGACCTGAGCTGAAGGCAGTTGCTTAACCAACTGAGCCACCCAGGTGCCCCTACCTTTGTGTTTTTTAAGCCCTAGATGCTGACCTGGTTTTCCCAAACAAGATGTGTTACCCCAAGAAGAGAGAGAGAAATTACATGTAGGGATCCTTAGAGCACGCAGTTTGTGATCACACTGTCACCAAGTTGAAGCTGAACGAAGCGCATCCAGGGGCCTGGAACCCAGCACCAGGGTGACCACCATGATTGGGGGCAGGGGAGAGAAATGTGTTGGTGCCCAGCGCCCTGCACACCTGAGGATGCCCATGCTTGGTTTCACGCTTCAGTGTCACCATCTTGAATCTTCATCATTTTTTAACAAAGGCTCCCACATTTCCATTCTGCGCTGGGCCCCATGAAATATGGACCTGTCCTACTTGGCATTTTCTAAAGGATGTTTGCCAGGTGACCTCAAGGACTTGCTAAACCAAGGCAGGGCCTGTGATCCTCGGGTCTACCGTGCCAGAGGTCCCTTTGCTTCTTTTGTGACACTTGTGTTCTACATGTGATTACCTGTCCCCAGGCTGTAATCCCCGGGAAAACTGCACTTAGGGGACAAGTGAGGCTTATGGGTGGGCTGATCATGATGACTTGAGAGAGGCAAGCAGGTGCTGAAGGGCCTTGCACGCCAAGCCAGGAGGCTGGGCTTTCTCTAGGTGGTTACCACTAGCTAGTAAGAGGTGCGTTTTAGAAAGGCCCCCCTGAAAGGTAGTCACTTACTAGAATTACACAGTGGTCAAAACGGACCTAAAAAGAATGAGATTTGGTAGCTTCTCTTCTCTCAGCTGCCCCTGTCCTTTCTAAATCCTCTCAGCCTGATCCTTCCCAGCAGGGGGTTCTCAGCTTGTTCTTACAAAATCGAGGAATATTAGGGAGAAGGCACTTTGGGCTTAACACCATCCTACTCCAGGATCCTCTCCTTAGATCCACCACCTGGAGAACTTTTTAAAATACCAAGGCTAGGGCTTTACCCCAGGATTATTCAAACTTTTAATTCTCAAAATTTTTAATCAGACACTTGAATATAAGGAATAATAATCAGTCCCCATGGGCCCCACACCAGGGTTCCTAAACTTTACCACACATTACAACCCCTCCGGTAGCTTTAAAAAATTTCGATGACCTGGGGTTGGGGGGGTGGGCAAAATAGGGGAAGGGGATTCAAAGGAAAAAATGTTTTGTGATAACCAGGCTGCACAGGAGGCCAATTAATTAGAATCCAGGGGGTGGCACGCAGCATCGCTGTTTATAAAAATCCCCCAGATGGTTCCAGCGCCTTACACCAGCCTCAACAATCATCCTGCTAATCTTTCATATGTTCTTCTAACATATACTTTTTTTGAATTATTTGATAACAGAGCTCAGAAATTCAGTCCTTCCCTCTGTAAATATCTCTAACAGGTAGGCTTGTTTTCAGCACAGTGCTCATGCTGTCTGTACCCCCAACACACTTCTCAGTGAGCCCTCAACATCATCTAAGACCTGGCCCATGCTGAACTTCGCCAGGTCCTCTTTCCACGTTTGCTTGCTTGTCTAGGGATCTACTCACTGCACTTGGCTGTTGGGTTCTGTCTCTTTTGTTCTATGACAGTCCCCTCCCTTTTTGTTATATTTTTAAAGTTCCTGGGAGACTCTTAGGGGAAGCCAGACTTGACTGGCTTGGCCACTTCGATTAAAAGGGGAGACTGAGGCCCAGAGAGGAAAGTAGTTTTCAGTGCGTTAGCTGAGACGTCCAAATCAGCCAGCTCTCCATCCTCCCCCTGCTCCTCCTACATGTGCGGGCGCCTACAATGCTCACCTTCTCCTTAGGGACTCGTAGAGATTGAACGGCTTTCAAGACTTATGCAAAACTTCATGTACATGAGCTTTTTCTCTGGGGAGAAGGCCCGTGGATTACGAAGGACCTGTAGCTCCCCAAAAAGTTAGCACAGGGGAGATGTTTGGGGTCCAGGAGCTGGCCAGCTGACTGGCATATTGTAGAGGACAGCACGTGCCACCCAATGCTAAGGCCACCAGCTCTGCCATCCCAGGAATTCAAGCGCCTCTACCGTGTGACAGAAATCCCTGTGCAGTTGGCCTGAGTCTGGCCTGCCATTCCAGAAGATCCTTGCTTACCACCAGATGGAGCAGCTCCTCCACGGACTGCCCTGCAGGCCCCAAGGTCACTAGGAAAGAAAGAAACCTGTTGAAGGAACTGTCCCCACAATGATGCCTTTCTCGTGTCTCTCCTATTAGGGGTGTTCCAGGCTCTCAGTACGAAGAACAAGGACAAGGAGTTCATTCATCTCAACATAAACGAGGTATGATCCAGCCAGGGCTAGGCAGAGCCCCTGCTCTATAAATGTTTGCTGAATGCATGTGAAGATCACACTTAGCCACGGGCGTAATAACAACAATGAAACTGCTAATATTTTTTAGGTACTAGTCAGTTAGCAGCCAATGCAGTCGTTACAATAGTCCTGTGAGCTAAGGATTAACAGAATCCTCATTTGGCAGAAGTGGAAACTGAGACATAAAATGATTAATCACCTGGAACAGAGTGAGCAAGTAAACCCTGCCTTCTTCTTCTCTTCCTTCTGCTGTATGGGTTCCTCAGCCTGCCTGCCTTCTAGCTTCCCTTGCGCATGTTGTCCTGTGGGTCTCATGATTCTTGGGGGGGGGTGTGTGCATGCACATGCATGTATGCACATGTTTGCACTCACCTCAAAAACCCTGAGAAAGACACAACTTTTGCCAGTTACAGGGCTAACCACAGCAAAAATGATGGAGGGAAGAGCCTGGATCAGAGTCTCAGAGGCTTCGAAGAGGTGTCCCAGGTGTGGACCGTCCTGTCCCCACTGCCTAGAGTGCGGTCCGCAGACCAGCGGCGTGCGCATCACCTAGGGGAGCTGTTAGAAATGCAGAGTGCCACATAGTGATTATAGCCCACAAAACTGTTATAAACTTCAGAGTTGCTAAGAGACTACGTCTTAATTGTCCTAGCCAAACACAAAAAAGAAATTATAATCATGTGACCTGAAAGAGGTGTTAGCTAATCACATTGCAATATGTAAATACATATATAACACTTACACAGTGTTAATGTCAATTATATGTCAGTAAAATGAAGACAATAAAAAATTACACAAGCAAGAAAGGCAGAGTACCAAGCCCCACCCCGGACCTGCTGAATCAGATCTTGTTTTAGGAGGATCCCCAGTGATTCCTACACATACTAAAGTTTGAGAATGCTGGTTAGACATTCTCCTACCCAAAGGCAGGGAGGAAACTATAGAATGCCTCCCTTCACTGGTTCCCATGATTTCTTTCTTTTTTTTCTTTTAAAGATTTTATTTATTTATTTTGACAGAGAGAGACACAGTGAGAGAGGGAACACAAGCAGGGGGGAGTGGGAGAGGGAGAAGCAGGCTTCCCGCGGAGCAGGGAGCCCGATGCGGGGCTCGATCCCAGGACCCTGGGATCGTGACCTGAGCCGAAGGCAGATGCTTAACCGACTGAGCCACCCAGGTGCCCTGTTCCCGTGATTTCTATTGCCCATTTTTCTCCTTTCTTCCCCCGTGTCTTCCTGTCCAGCTTTGCTTTCCCTTGGACCTAACAGTAGCAAAGCCAGCAGCCCGAACCTCCTTCCCGTCTCTGAGCTCTTTCCCCTCCCCACCCTCTTCCACATTCACACCACAAACACTGGCTCATTTCCAAATTCAGTAGCAACTTTGGATTTGTGTTCCACTTTAATGACTATCAAGATAAAGAAGGTGATGACAGTATGTATTAAATGGGATGGAACATCCCCTTCTGTGCTTTGATTTTGATCAGTTCACCCGCTCTGCGCCTCAGTTTCCCCATCTGCAGAGAGATCAGGCCTTAATCTTACATCAAAAGTTTGGTGTCTAAAAAAATATCATGTAATTTGGCCACTTATTGTGATGCCTCATCACCAATGTTCTGTGTGTATCTCCGATCCCTGGATACACTGTGATTTCCCTGAGGACAGACACTGGGCATTTTCCTTTTCTAGTATTCTCTCTAAACTTCAAAGCACACAACACAATAAATATAACTCCTCTGACCGATAACCATATAAAACACCTGGGGGGTTCCAGAAAAAGATGTGCATAATCCAACTGGCCCCTTATGAAAACAAGAGGGACCCCTAGACCCAGATTTCTCAATTACATCAATATTTGGCCACTATTAAGCATGAAGAAAGGACAGTGGCCACCTGTCCAGAGTGCAGGGGTGAGTGGGCAGGTTTGGTACTCAACACTCTCTCCCAAAGGCTTCAACGAACGTACCAGAAGCGTGGAGGAAGCATTCTATTGCCTCAGAGTCAAGGGGTCACTTTCAAACCAAGTGTTCGTGGGCGGGGGGGCTGGAATGAGCTCTCTATCCTGTCCACCCTCCCCTCAACAGACCCAAGTCATCTGGTGTGAGCTCCTGCCCCGCCCACAGTTGTCCATCTCTAAGACAACAGGACAAATCTTCGAGTCTTCTCCCTCTTTCTCCCTTCGAGCCCATCATCCTCAACTCTGGCTGCACAGTAGGATCACCTAGGGAGATTTTAAAATCCCAATGGCTTGGCCATGACCCAAACCAATTAAGTCCAAATCTCTCGGGGTGGGGCCCAAGCATTGATATTTTTAAAATTCCCCCATGAGTCCAGTATGCAGCCAAGTTCAAGAGCCCCCTGTCATCCACCTAGGTAACAATCGGATCCTTGCCCCACCTACAGTTACTCTGCTAGAAGAGTCTGTGTGTCTTCCTTCACCCAGCTGCCTTCCCTGACCCTGACCTTGGCATACGCTGTGTCCAGGAAATGGGGCAGAGAAAAGAGAAGAAACCATCCCACATAATTGTGTTTCCCCGTGACCATGCTGTGATAAGAAAGCAGGGGGCAAGGGGAGGAAGAGGCAGGATGCCCTCAGGCTAGAGAAGGAACTGCATGCAACTTCACCAGTTCACTTGTAAAGAGCCCCAGATGCTGAGCCTGCAGCCTCTTCCTGATGGACCACCTCTGTCCTAACCGTCAGGGGACCCCTCATCAAAGAGGAAAAGGCACTTCATATTGCCCTGCCTGAGGTGCCTCAGGAAGGCTCTCTTCTTTGCCAGGGAGAAAGCACATTTCTCTCTCTCTCTCTGCACTTGACTTGAACTAACTCAGAAAGATCTCAGGACCTCTGGAAAACTGAAAGTGTTGGGAATTCACATTTTAAAAATATTTCATGTTGAAGTGGAAGTCCATATTCAAAGGCAAGATGATTGGATGGCGGAACTGCTGTGACACAAACCAACCAGGGCTGGTAGGGGAGTAGAGGGATAACCAACTCTTCACTTTCTCTCTCTGTCTTTTTGTTCCCAGTTCATCAACTTGACAATGAACATCTGAGGCTTCCGCAGCAAGGATGCAGTCTGTCCGGCCGAGTCTTGACTTTTGGACCATGAACTTCAGAACGTTTCTTGATGTAGAGCTCTCCTCCCATTATCCAACCTTCTCCTCCCCCTGCCCCACCATCCTGATCTTGGAAGAATGAAATGGACTCAGCTATGATCTCTGATTTTATGCTCCTTCTTTGTACAATCCCTGCCCTAAGAGGGGCTGAGGTTACCACCTGTGCCTTAAGCTCAGGTTCAGGCATCGTTAGCAATTTCTCCGCCCACCTTCCCCACCTCTTCCCAGTACTAATTATCCAAAGTGTAACTCAGTGCACAGAGCCCTGGCTTCAGTGGAATGTCAATCATTACACTCGAACATCCTATACAGGACAATGTTTCTATAAATGTGTTGGGGCCTGAGATGAGAACAGAAAGTTGTGATGTCATAATTAAGTATTTTCTTCATCTTAGGTGTGTTTCCTTATTGGGGGGCAAACCTTGGGGGAATTCTGGATGCTTACTTGTAAGAGTGGAACAACATGAAAATCCCTATTTCCTCCTCCAAGAGGTGGTAACTAAGACAGTGTCTGTCCAGTCCAGACATCCTTTGTGTCTAAAGCTTTGGGTCAGAAAAGTCAGGTGCAATGCTTTTCTTCTCGGTAGCCCAGATTCAGGTCAGACTGGATTGCATTAATTTCTACCATGCTGGGGAAGAACAGAGTGGAGAAGCCTTGTTTTAGCTCCCTGACACTGGATAGGAAAATCCCACCAAATTGGAATAATAGGAAATAACGTGATATTGCCTCAGTAAATGTTAGGTCTCATTTTCTTATTTATATACTTGTGGCAGGTGAGGTGGAATGGAGGGGTGTGCAGAGAGAGAAGGGGGCACAATGGTTGGGATGAAGATCAAGTTAGAAGTGAAACTTCATCAGATTCCTGTCCCCTGGCTAAAGATGCTGGGGCAACATGATCTCTTCTCAATTCCCAACCCTTCCCTGATCTCACCCAGCAATAGGAGCATCATGCAATAACAATGTTTTCTAGTTTCTGTATTTGATATTTGATATCTTGAGGGCTTGCTAACCCTGGAGGGATTGCCCTTCCCAAAGCTAGTCAATTCCCGGAAGTAGCAAACAGCTTGCCTGCAAGTGTGCTTTTCATATACAAGCCAACCAATCCAGAGCCCACACCCCAACCACCTCCTCTATGGGACTTTGACACTCCAGGCCACTATCCACCTACCCTAATCACCGCAGAGCCAGGTTTCAGACAACTAGGGACACTTCTAAGCCCCAGAGCCTGCTGAAATTATACAAACTAGCCAATCGTCAGACTGCTTACTCTGCCTCACCCATTCCTTCCTATGGAAACCACAATAAAGATTCTTGCCCACATTTTCCCCTTGCTCCCCCTGCTTCCTGACCAAGTCTGGTGCCTTTCTGTATGGCCCTGCATGACATGGCATGCCCCCTCCTTTTGGGATTGGTGAATATAACAAGTTACCTTTTCAATAGCAATTGTCTCCTAATCTTTTGGTCTCATCAGATAATAACTTGAATTTACAAGAAATGAACAGCACTACAAATAGTATCTGTGGGTTAATATAAAAGTCTATAAATGTGTTTTTTTTTCTTCTAATTTTGTTAAAAGACATAAGGCTATATAAAGCAATAATTATAACACTCTATTCTTAGGTTTGTAACATATGTAGAGATATATAATAATAATAGCACAAAGGAAAGGAAAGAAATTGAGATATATTGAAGCAATATTGCTATATTTTACTGACATTAAGCAAGTATTAACCTGAAGTAGATGGTATAAGTTAATTTGCATATTGTAATCTGTAAAGCAACCTCTAAGAAAATAACAAAAATGCAGTAAAGCAACAGAGGAATTGAAATGGTATACCTAGAAAGAATTGTTAGCACAAAAGCAGTAGAGGGGGAACACATTTTCAAAATGAGACACAGAAAACAAAATGGCAGACCTAAATCCAACCACAGCAATAATTATATTAAGTATAAATGGATAAACACTATAATCAAAAGGCAGTGATTATCAGAATGGATTTAAAAAATAAGATTCAGGGCGCCTGGGTGGCTCAGTTGGTTAAGCAACTGCCTTCAGCTCAGGTCCTGATCCCAGGGTCCTGGGATCGAGTCCCGCATCAGGCTCCCTGCTCTGAGGGGAGCCTGCTTCTCCCTCTCCCACTCCCCCTGCTTGTGTTCCCTCTCTCACTGTGTCTCTCTCTGTCAAATAAATAAATAAAATCTTAAAAAAAAAAAATAAGATTCAATGGCTACCATCTACATGAGACACACTTCACACAAAAAGACAAAAATAGGTTGGAAGTAAAATGATAAAAAGCGAATACCATGCCAATGGTAGCAATAAATGAGCCAGAGTGGCTATACTACTATCAAACAAATTTAACTTCCAGATAAAAAATATTATTAAAGACAAGGAGGGTCATTACATATGATAAAGGGTAAATACATTAGGAAGATAAAACAATTATAAATGTCATACTACCAAATAGTAGAGCCTCAAAATACATGAAGCAAAAATGCATAGATTGAAAGAAGAAATAAACACTTTAACAATTAGTTCAATACCCCACTTCAGTAATTGAAAGAGCAGCTAAACAGAAAATCAGCAAAGATGCAGAAAACTTGAATGACACTTGTCAACATAATAGACATTTTTAGAGCACTCTACTTTAAAATAAATACACAGTTTTTTCAAAAGCAGATGGAATGTTCTCCAGGTTATATCATATACTAGGTCATAAAACAAATTTCAATATATTTAAAAAGATTTACGGGGCGCCTG